TTTATTTATTTTTAAAGATTTTATTTATTTATTTAATTGACAGAAAGAGACAGCGTGAGGGGAAACAGAAGTAGGGGGAGTGGGAGAGGAAGAAGCAGGCTTCCGGCCGAGCAGGGAGCCCGATGCGGGGCTCGATCCCGGGACCCCAGGATCATGACCTAAGCCGAAGGCAGTCGCTTAACCAACTGAGCCACCCAGGCGCCCCAGGAATAATCCACTTTAAATCATTTTAGCACTGAATGCAGAAATCTAGTCTAGTATGAAAGGATGGAAATTACTTGTTAATCCAATTTAAAGTATTTCTCTTTGTGAAAGAATCATAAGGTATACAAAGATTTATGTTGTTCAACTTAAAAACTGAAGCTGAACACTATTATACAGAAGTCAGTGTGCAATATCTTTGTCTATTAAAGATCATAATCCAAAAAGTCATCTTAATTCTAGAACACATAATAAAGGTTTTTTCCTTTAGGAAATACTACTTCAGTGGCTAGTTTCCATTTAGCATTGTTTATTATAAGCTACTTTTGTTTGTATAACAACATATAACATTTGTTATTTTCAAATTTCTGTATATCAATAGCATACAAATTTTATCCAATGACATATAGCAACTATTTCTAATAAAACCTCGAAATTCAAAAAAAGCATGACTAGCAGCAGCATCTGTCTTACTTGGGTGGTGGTTAGAAACACAGGATCTCAGGTCATTCCTAGACCTACAGAATCAGAATCCAATTTAAAAAAAAAGAAAAACAAAACAACAACAAGAAAAAGACTCCCACGCACATTCAAGTTTGAGTAGAACTTCTTTAAAATAAGGTTCTTAAACAGGTAATTTCACTGAGTAAATCTCAGGAGAATAATCTAGTTTTGCTTCTATTTAATGCTAACAATAAAATATTCTTACAAAAGTAGCTCAGATGAACAGAATATTACTATAAAAGAGTTCTATTTAAATCTTCAATCATAGGGTGGATAATGAGAATTAGAACAGACTTGTCCCCTTTTTGTACTGGCTTCCAAGGAGCTTGAAGCCAAAACTAAAATTAATCTTTTTTATTTATATGTTGAGACTTATGATCTGCCTTGATTTCCCACTTCCCATAGTCTAAATCCCCCCAAACCTGATGTTCTCTATTTTACTGTATAATTTATTTTAAAAAATTATGTCAAAACAGTGATACAAAAAAATGCTAGGCATAAATGATGATATCCTTTTTTCAGTTATCCAGTAACTTTGGTTTAACTTTTGAGATTATTCAGAAGAAATCTGGCATGGTTTTGCTTTTAGAAAGCCACAATAAGTCAGGGGATATATAGGTGAAAAGAGAGAACCACCACCATATGATTGCTTTCACAAATACGGGGAGTATATTTCTAAGTACCAGCTTTATTCTAAGCTTCAAGATAAACCCTAAGAAGAAAAAAGAACATCTTGAATTCCTATTTGGAATCCATTTTCCTTTGGTTGCTACACTTCCCCTTTCTCAACCCCAAAACAAAAACCAAAAAAGCCATTTGTGTTTTCTTTTCATACATGAAGCAAAATGCTCAAGGCCACATTTCTCTTTTACTATAAAGATTGGTGACACATAGAGGGTGGGGAGTTTCTGCAAGAAAGATCCTTAAATGGTTGGGAGCAAAAAAAAAAAAAAAAGAAGGAATCAAAAAAACAAAGCAGAAGTATCTGACTCAAAGCTGAAATTTAGTATGCTTGGGAGGGAGAAAACTATATAAAACCACGGGATTCAGTTTAAAATGATTCACAGTTATTCATAATGCTAACCTCTAGCATTTGAAAGAATACAGAAATTAAATTGTTTCTTTATACACAGCCTGACAGAAAAAAAGTCAGAAGGAATTCAAACAGGATAGCAAATATTAGGCATGAGTTTGTAGCTCACTTGTATCAGCTGTCCATCTTTTAACTACAATCACAACAACCAGGAACCATAATTCTTTCCCAAATTAATAAATTATACTGCTATCCCAACAGATTTCCAGCATATTCATGGACATGGAGCATACAGGACTTTACCTGCATCTTGCCCTTCTGACGACAACAGTTTTTTCTTGGTCTCCTGGAATAAACGCAAACTATACCCATCTGTGGGCTAACAGTACTACTGCCTGGGATCCAGATATTCAAAATAAGCCGGGCAGAAACCAAAATGAAAACATTAACACAAACCCTACAACTTCTACAGTAGATAAAAGAGGTAACTCTATAAACAGGACTGAAATAGCAACATCATCTCAGGTCACATCTCTAACTCCTATATCGGAACTGGAGCTTTATATACCTTCTGTCGTCAGGAACAGTTCTCCAACAGTACAGAGCACGGAAAACACAACCAAAGGTCACCGTGAAATTTTCAAAAAAGAGGTCTGTGAGGAAAACAACAACAAAATGGCTATGCTAATTTGCTTCGTTATAATTGCAGTGCTTTTTCTTATCTGCACCGTTCTATTTCTCTCAACTGTAGTTCTGGCAAACAAAGTCTCCTCTCTCAGACGATCAAAACAAGTAGGCAAGCGTCAGCCTAGAAGCAACGGTGATTTTCTGGCAAGCAGTGGTCTCTGGCCTGCTGAATCAGACACTTGGAAAAGAGCACAACAGCTCACAGGGCCCAACCTAATGATGCAATCTACTGGAACACTCACAGCTACAAGGGAAAGAAAAGATGAAGGAGGAACTGAAAAACTCACTAACTAACAGGCGCTTTAGTCAAGAAAAATGCAAAGGAGCAATGAGAAAGTTTATGAAGTAAAAAAATGACATCAGTTTGATATTTAATGCCAACATGTTGGTTTGGTGGTCTAAAATTTGTTGACATGGCAGCCCTGCAATTTAGAATCCAGCAGGTGAGAAGGGGAGAAGTTTGCCCACCTTCTCAATTACTTAAACTGTGCACTTTTGTCCTGACACTGAGTATTTTAAAAAGTAAATAACCAAAACCTGAGAATGTGGGAAAGGTTTTAAAGACGAGTTGAAGGAACTGACTAATGGGAGGCAGAAAGGGACAATTAAATAAATATTTCCTGTTCAGCAACAGTAGTTAGATGATCTTTGTCTGAATGTAATTGAACTTTGAAGAGTTTTAGTGTGTCCTTAGAGGCAAGTATATGCTTCAGCATCTAACAGAAGCCAAATTCCTAGTGCGTAGAGTTGAACTGCAGTTTAACGGTACCTTTGCCGAACGTGACAGAATCTGGACCAGCTCATACATCAGCACAGCTAATTTTATGCCGGATGTTTTCATCTTTACATATGGCACACAGAAGAAAGTGTTTTTCTATTATAAATATTTAATTAAAACTTTTAATTTTGTATAATGAATTAAGACTCATTAGAATAAAACTGACTACATATAATTGTATTCCGTTTATTATCTTAGGCAACACACTGTAAAGATCAATAAGAAATACAGCTTAACTGAAACAGATGAGATTGTAACCACAACAGAAGGCCAAGTGTAAATGTAAAGCACATCTTACTGTTTAAATGCAATGTACCTCTACTCTATAAATACTGCTTATTGGAATATTTATAGCAAATATCCAAAGGGTGACTAATTTTCTGACTTCAAGGGTGCCAAGTGGCCTAATAAATGATCAGTTTTACTTTTTTTTACTATCTAATGGGACATGAGCAAAGGAAAGATGTGTGTATGTTTGCTCTCATCTGGAAAACAGGATACTCCAGTCACTGTTTAACCTTTCAAGAAACTGGGTTCAAGTAAAATAATGACTTACACTTAAATCAAGACTTCCACCTTCAGTTAAATATATTACAAAACTTGGTCTGAGAGACTTTCCAACTATCTACTAAAATTGATCCAGGGCATACTAATTAAAGACCAAGCTACATTTAAAAATTCTCATCCCTTATTGAGCATTTATTTTGGGCAATATGCTATCCATTTAAGAAAAAATTTTATATATTTTTTTCCAAATATGATCACAATCTTACCCTCCCTTCTAGGTTCGTGATTCTCAACCTGATTGTGCATCAGAATCATCTGAAGAGTTTTTAAAGCTAGCCAATACCTAATTCCCACTCTCTCTTTCTGATTCAGCTGGAATGGGGTAACCTCCAAGCACTGGTAATTTCTGCATTAATTCCCTAGGTGATACTGGTCTTGATCATCAAAATCACTTCTTACAGGCACCATGGCTTCAAAGATCTAGGTTGTATCTTAAAATGCGAGGGAAAAACCAAAGCATCAATTTTATGATCAATTTATTACCAATTTGTTAAAAAAATAAATAAATTATAACCATATTATTCCAGATAAAGCTAAATGTCAAAAAAGTAAAAAGGGAAGAGAACACTCATGCCAATCATGGTGACATCAGGTTATCTTTTGAGGGGTAAAAAGGACCAGACTGGCAATGAAACTGGGCAGAGCTCCCATCTTGTATAAATTAAAAATTTGAGACTGTGTACTAGAACAAATAGTGCTACACAAAGTACTCATTGAGTCAAGTGACATATATACTTGTCTGAGGAAATTAAAACAAATTAGTGTCCTTTAAAAAAATAAGACATTAACTAGGTAAGTACTTTCATATTCAACATACAAGTCAACCATTTTCTGACAAAAAAAGATAAAGCTCCTACTGCAGGAATATTTAAAATTCATCACTCACTAATTAACACCCTCAGAATGATGCTATCCAATGACAGTTCATGAACAAACAGAAGTGGCTCCTTTTCAGACTTGACAGTGTTTAAACACGATAGATTAAGGTACATTTTGAGTTCAAAATTTAAAAGTTATTTTTGAAAAAAGAACACTTTTGTTTTCTACCCCAGGTGTTATGGTCCACATACTCAATTCAGGGATTTTAAAACAGTGAATCAAAAGTTCACAGTGTTTTGATTATATTCTGCTTTATAGTAGGACCCCTTAAAAACAAAAACTATTCCTTTTGTGCCAAGTTATAAGTACCTGGATGTTAAGAACTAGGTCTCAACAGTCCATGATCCTCTGTAGTGATCAGGGAAAAGCAGGGCATGGCTTAATACTTACCGTTATCTACTCTAACAGGTTCTATGCTTGCTAGGCACTTAACATTTATTCAATCCCATAACAAATTTATAAATTAGGAATTATGACCTCCATTTCTCAGATGAGGAAAGAGGCTAGAAGGTGACTTGCCCAAAGAAATTTTTATTCAGACTGACTCATTCTCTTTTCAATATACTTGGCTTAACTTATTTAAATCATGATTCCCAATTTATTTTACCTTCCACTGAGAAGTACCTACTTTGTGGGTAATCAAAGAGTTGTGCACTGAAACTCCAAAATAATTTAGTAAAGTACTCGGTCCAAAAAATTGAATTATACTTTTACCTGGGTTTTGTCTAAATTATGTACAAGGAAATAATGTTAACATTTACTGGCTTCCTACTGTGTGTGAGGCATTTATACATGTTATCTTATTTAATCTTCAAAATAACTCACTAAGAGAAATATTCCTCCAGAGGAGGAAATGATGACTCAGAAGTACAGCAACTTGCCTAAGGTGATCGAGTAAACAGAACATATCATTTGCTTCTTACGAAAAGAAATCTCACTTTGGGTAATAACCCAACCGGCAGTTTTTCCTTAGAATATGTAAGTTCCCCTCTAAAGTTCTAAGTATTTAAATTATATAATCACATTACTAGAGAGTCTCAAATATTCACTTACCAACATTAATTAAAAGCATTCAAATCACAAAGCTGCAAACTGTGTTTCAAAATAAGTTCTGTTAAAGTAGTGCATTTCTTAGTCATTTTGTGGCTTATTGCACTTCCGGAACCAACTATCGATAAACTTCCTTTTTTTCTACAGAAAGCATTTCAGTTTGCTACAGGACCATTTTTAATCTGAACTGAACCACCCCTTTTGCTTTCTTAGCCAAATCACCAAAATGTCCAGATAGAACAAGAACTCAGCATTCTGCAAAAAGAAGTTAACAGCTGAGGTAAGAAAATTTTCACACAGGCAATCTGGTTTGATCTTAATTTTATATAAAATTTATTTTTAAAACTAAAATGTTGTTAGTGTTTTAAATTTAAACTCTGCTAGTCTAAAGATGTCTATAACAGGTTTTGTAATTTGGTTGCATGGAATTAAAAAATATTCAATGTTGAGCGTGCCTTGAAGAAAAATTTTCAGCTAGGTTTGTATAATATAGCCCGTTTAAGTTTATTCAATCACAATGGTTAGTTAGCCTTAGTTCTGTAATTAAAGGAAATAAACTATAACCCTGGTGGATAAAGCTAAAGGATACAAGTAAAACTAGAATCCATGGGATATGACTGAATTTACAATCCCCAAATACCAGCTGTTAAAAATTCTAACTTGCTTTCTATAAAATTTTCCTATACATAATCCATAGATTTAAATTATTTTTAATCCCCTTTAGTTTCTATGGTAAAAATGGTCACCTTCACTTAATTTAAAAAAGAAACCAAAGGAGATTAGATGAGGTACTCAATTATCATTATTACATACGCTTTGTTTTTTACACAAATAGAATTTTATATTTAAGTAATAATAGGAAAATATTATAGCTCATTTTTAAAGTTTACTAAGACAAAACTGTTATGATAAAATGTGTGTACATATATTCATATCATCTACGTATTTATGCAATACATTACTATCTGAGCTGTTGGTAAACAGTATAAAATAGATATGGGAAAAAAACACTCACAGGATAAATAATAGAAAATTGCTAATATGCATGCAACATGCCTACTCTGTGAGTAAACTGGGCAGCTACAAAGTAAATATCCTCCAAATAAAAACTGCAAAGGGTTTAGTTTACTTAGACTTGTAATATCACAGAATATAAACTCATAGTGGGTGATATTCTATTTCAACATTTCATAAATATTTATGACTTTCCCTTATAGAAGTCCACTTTGGATTTTTTCTAAGTAACTATTACATAAGTTAGAATATAAAGATTTTTATCTCTTTTTTAGATAAGACTTGTCTCTATATATTTTTAAAGGGTCAGTTCAAAATTTAGAGTGTAATAGTATCTTTGTTTTTCAATTAATTCCTATATAACTCTACTTAGAAGGAAATTATGAATTCTGAGTAAGTTCAAATTTGTTAAATATAAATCTGATGCCTTTCAATGTCCGATCTTTAAAAGTCATCTCAAATATACATATATATATATATATATATATATATTAGCTCAAATATAGCTTATAGGTTAACCATTTAAAACTCTCATAAATATTTTCATAGAATCAGAGGCATAACCTGGTTTTCTGGTAGTTTTTTTTCCTACTCCTTACTCAAGACTGCCTCCAAAAGTTATTTACGTACCTGTTTCCAGAGAGCTCACATCTCCTTCCTTAAGCATTCTTGCTTCATACTTTTACTATGAAAGTCAGTGACATATAACAGAAGGAAAGGACTCTGGGATACGATTGACATGATTTTTTTATCACTGCCTCTACTTACAACTCTGACACTGCCAAGTTACCCCACATCTCTGTGTCTCAGTCTCTTTATCTGTAAGACGAAGGTAACACTACCCTGCTTGTTAAAATAGGATAGTACCTAACATTAAGTGGGTACTCAGTAAATGGTAGCTATTATTATTAAGTCTCCAAATACTTCCTATTAGAGTTCAAGGTTAATCTCCCTTTCTACTCCTACTCAAGATACAGAATTGCTGTTTTCCTCTTTTTATGATTTAATAATTTAACCAGCTGGAGATACAATATGACTAAATTTTAATCTATTCTATCTATACTGTAACTTATTAAATGAAAGTAGTAATAATATCAAAGTCCTAATCACTCATGTATTATTTTTTATACTGTTACATGTACTTGCCTTTTTATTTGGGATATGCTCTCCAAATCTCCTTGATTCTCTTTAAATGACATTTCTTATCATATCCAACTTAACAGAATCAATTTTAACTGTACTCTTTATGTACTTATGCATCATATTTATGAGAACATGTCTAATACATGAGGACTCCTACCTTCACTGTAACTGACTGTAAGATGCTTAGTTAAAACACAGCTGAGGAAAAAAAAAAAAAAAAAACACAGCTGAGGGGCACCTGGGTGGCTCAGTCGTTAAGTGTCTGCCTTCGGCTCGGGTCATGATCTCAGGTGGTGAGATCGAGCCCCATGTCAGACTCCATACTCAGCATGGAGTCCAGTGCTAGGCTGGAACTCAGGATCCTGAGATCATGACCTGAGCTGAGATCAAGAGTGGGACACTTAACCAACTGAGCCACCCAGGCACCTCAGTTCTACCTCATTCTTAGTCCTCAAATCCTGTAGCTATTTTGATGGGATTGCATTGAATTTATAATAATCTGGGAAGTGGGAAGAACTGTTCATCCAAGAACACAATATGCCTGTTCACTCATTCAAATCTTTTTAAATATTTCTTAATAAAGCTTTCTGCTTTTCTTAATTTGTCAGTCTTAACACATTTTCTTTTTAGGGTTGTATTCCTACATCCCTTATTATAAGTATTATAATATAAATAATATATGTAAAAGTAAATATATGTAGTCATCTGGACTTGATGAATTGTCAAAGCTTTCAATTAGCTGAAAAATCAAGAAATATGTTTGAGGGGCACCTGGGTGGCTCAGTTGGTTAAGCAACTGGTTTCAGCTCAGGTCAGGATCTCATAGGTCACTGGGACTGAGCCCCAAGTTGGGCTTTGCACTCAGCAGGGAGTCTGCTTAAAGATTCTCTCCCTCTGCCCCTCCCCCAACTCATGCACGTGCATGTGCTCTTTTTTATGTTATCTTACTGTTCTCAAATAAAATAGTAAATCTTAAAAAAAATATGTTTGCAGAAAAAAAGTTTTATGTATTATGGAGAGAGAAAGGGGAGGGAAGAAAATGTCAGGAAATAAGCTGGAGGAAGAGCAACATTTACCACAACAGGGTATGAAGATGAATAAATGGAAAGAGTGGATGTTAAATTTATAAGACTTATTAAAAACCAAGTCAGGAGTTGACTCTGGACCCTGTATTATGTGTCACTGCATTCTTCAGGAACTGTACATGACCAATAAAATCACAGTTCAAAGTCAACCTGACGAAAAGAAAAAATGACTATTTCCTTAAAATCAAGGAGACAACATGGATACTTCACTCATTTGGAATAATCTGCTAAGAAGAGAAATCCTGAAGCTAATTAAACTGAAACAGTGCGAAAAATACTTTGTAAGTGGCTCAAAGACATGTAAAGTATCAAAAATCTTGCCACCTTGCTTTTATGGCCAGAATTTTGGTGGATTTCTCAATGTTGTCTAACCAGGAAGTTCCTTCAGAGTTTCTTCAGTTGCAGAGTACAGCAGATGAAAAATTAGAAGAGATAAAGAACCGAAAATACAATCAATTATGATTTCACTGGCAAATTCTGAAATGAAAGGATTTTCTTTGAATCTTCTTAGAATCATTGTTAGGGGCGCCTGGGTGGCTCAGTCGTTAAGTGTCTGCCTTCGGCTCAGGTCATGATCCAGGGCCCTGGGATCGAGCCCCACATAGGGCTCCCTGCACCACGGGGAAGCCTGCTTCTCCCTCTCCTACTCCCCCTGCTTGTGGTCCCTCTCTCGCCATGTCTCTCTGTCAAATAAATAAATAAAATCTTAAAAAAAAAAAAGAATCATTGTTAGTATTAAAGAAAATTATTATTACTTACTAGATTTGCTAAATCCAGAAATACACTCTTCCAAAAATTCTAAGGTGAGATGTGGCTCATTGGCTGCCAGTGTCTTACTAATAGAGACAATAAAGAGCGTGTTGTTGGCAGGGATGCATAAACCTGATGTCTCTAGTAACTGGCCCTCGATTTTTAAATTAAAGGTACAAGTTAAGGCACACAGAAGATTATAGGCGGCTGACCTAGGAGAAAACATAAACAAAGTTGTTTTAAAACTTATTTTTTCTTATGATTCCAAATTTTTTTCATAACGTACAACTTATTATTCTACTACAAAGCATAATCAACTATTTTTAAATTTTATGATCAATGAGAGATAAGATGTTATGGTTCTATGGTAAATACAAAATACCCCTTGATCATTTAGGGATTTTTTTTCATCATTTAGGGATTCAAGGGAGGTTCTTGACATTACCAGAAGAGCACTGTGAGGCTCCTAAGACAGGTAAGTATTAAGACGTTTCTAAAAGACATTTTACTAGGATATAAAATATGAGAGGTTTATGGTCCTAAGGTGGATCAATAAAGTTAGAATAAGGCTCATCATATTTTCAATGAAGCCAAAAACTCAAATTGTGGTTCCCCCTCTCATCAGATCCATTTATAATGGGGATCATAAGAAGAGAAATGAGATGGCCCCTCATCAAATTAAAATGTGAAAATCTTTCATCAGCACCTACCAAATTTCTTTCTTGATGTCCTATATGACGTACTACAAACTAGAGGTCAAAAACAAACATAATATAATTAAGTCCCCCCTGTTTTTCCTTCCATTATACTTAACCACTGAAAACATAAAACAATGATATACATCCAAATTCCATTAGAACCAAAATTTCCCTTAGAAATGTCTGAAAATATACTTAAGCAATTTAGGACACAAGTAAAAAAACTGTACTTGGTTTTCAAATTTTCATTTTTCTCCCCTATCCAGCAAGAGAAAGAGTTTGCTCAGCAAATTTCAGGTTTTCCTGACCTCCGAACCTTCATCATGCTACTATATTTTTGCAACAACCATATGGGGGCAAAAAGCCACTGAAATTTAAGTCAGCCTAAAGCCTTTTTCTCTGGAATGACATGCTTCAGCAAAAAACAGAAGCTGTCAGTTCACTTTATTTCACAAGAGAATACAGGTTCAGTGAAGCTAGTAACTGTTAGAAGATTGTTAGCATTCTTCTATGAGGAATTTTGAATTAGAAATTAAAGGCAGGCTTTATAGCTCTATTTTCCTAAAATGAGAATATTAATATTATTGTTTCTAAGTTTGTGTATCTCTTACTAACTCCTAGGAATTTGGAGTTATACCATTGACTTTTATTCGGTACATTTCAGCAGCTATAAAGAACCAGGCCTGCTCAAACCGGGGTAGGTCAGATTCCTTGGAGATAATGAAAGCTAAGCATACACAAAATTTTATACATAATTTCTGGGAGGCCCGTCCAGGTAAAGAAATCTTGATTTCCGCCTCCCCCCTTTATTTAAGAATCAGGAATCCTAAAAGGCCCACTTATAAAACTTGGGCTACATTACACCCTATAAGAATTTATATCTGTAAAAATCTTGACAGCCCCAAGGAACCTGGGACAAAGAATTATCCCAACACGAAAAGCAGAGGGGAGAAAGGAGGGAAGGAGTACAAAGACACACTGGCAGAGAGAGGAGGGGTGGGAGGGGGAGTTGGGAGGCAGTAATACTGAGCACAAACTGTTTACTAGGTGCTAAAATATACTGCTACACATACTATTTATGAAACCTTTGTAGGTATATAGGAAAGGCACTGTTACCCTTATTTTCAAAATGAGGAAACTAGAGCTCAGAGAACTTTAGTACCTTGCCTAAAGTCATACATTGTAGCAGATCTAGATTTAAACCAAATCTACTGACCCCACAGGCCATGCTCCTTCCTCATTCATGTTCAGATTATTAAATCTAAACAGAACCAATTATACCCTGTCAGATGACATCTACATCTGTCTTAAGACTTCTTTCAAGAACTTTGTTCAAGTCATATAGGTGGAAAGTATGCAATGTTACTGTTTGAGTTATTGCACATTAAGCCCTCCTTTGTCAAACAATAATAATCTGACTGTGAGGAAACTTAATAGTGATATACTTCTGAACATGGGAAAACATAATTAGAGGACTCAGAAGGAGAAACTTAGGAATAGACTTTAAAAAAAAAAGGCTTTTTTTGGTGGGGGGGAGTAACAAAACCAAAACTGCTATGTAGTCTGTTTCAGACGAAAGTTTCCTGGAGAAAGAACATGTATTGGTTTAGTGTGAATCACCCTTTTCAGAATTCCACAGTTCATGTGAATACCCCACAAACTGATGAGGTCACACTGGTTAACCAACATAGCATACCTTCCGATTTAGAGTATTAAGGTAGAGGCTGTATTAAAAGCTTATTAAGTGGTCTCATTCTAAAAGCAACAAACTCTGAAAAAAGTTGCAGTGAATTTTTAAAAAACCTACCGTAAACTAGGGTCTGAACTGCCTAAATTAAGTAATGCAATATTGAGCAGCGTCCCAGGGACATCTTTTGGCCGAATCTTGGTGTGCTGGGGGATGGAGTCGGGCTGCGACAGCTCCCAGCGTGTCCGAATATGAATGATAGACTGGACAATGGCTTCACACTCCTGGTGCATGAAGGTGAGTGGTGTGCCCTGGTTTGCAATGGTTAAGGTGAACTGGTTCTCATCCACCAGGCAGATCTCTTCAATTTCCGAAGCATAATAGATATCATTTAGAAAGACTGATTGCCCCAAGACTTTTGTTCGCTCTGCTGAGGTTACCTGGACAGCAGTAGAACCAACCTGGAAAGTGATGGTGAGAGGGCAGAGTGAAGAAGAGTTAAATTCCACTACGTAGAACTCTAAGAGGCTCTGAAAACCAACCAACTGACTGACCAAACAAATACCACGTTTGCCATTTAAGGAAGAGTTACTGCCAATGTTCAAATGGGGTCAAGAGTTATTGTGATAAATGCTCTCAAAAGAGACTGGAAACATTTTTTTTTTTAAAAGTTCAAGAATCCCATAATCAATCACTGGTTTTATCCTGGGTCATGTCTCCCATTCCACAAAAAGCATGTAATAATCAGAAGAATTCTCAACTGGTCACTTCCACCCTCTACACATTTCTACCATTTGACTGATAGATGGCAAACCACCCTCTCTACAACACTCCCCTGCCTCCAATCCAACCTAGAATATAATTAAGTGTACACCTCTCCTATCTTCCACAGGACCTCCACGAAGATAGAAAGCTTAGTTTTCCTCCATCTGGACCTACTTTACATTTGATCCACCTCTATGGGAACACCTAGGGAGGCCAGTGCAGTCTGGTTAGCCAAGAAGGGTGACAAATCATTTACCTCATGTGGAGTGAAACTTACTTTAATAGAAACCTTGGTGTCTTTGTGAGCTAGCTTGAGAGCGTTGTGGAATACCTTCAAGTCCTCTTCTAAAGCCAGTGTGGCAGCAGGCAGTTTCTGCTGTTCATGCTCTATGTGCTCAGCCAGTTTCCCAGGACAGTCTATGAAGATGAGCCTTTTGCTGCCTTTGAGGCCAGTCAGCAGCCGCTCGTGATACTTGGTGTACTCCCTGACCCAGGAGTTACAGTTATAGATATAGACTGCAGAGACATTGTCATAAGCAAAGCCAGGAAAAACAACAAACCACTTGGAGAGAAAGTCCGTTTTAAAGCGATTGCTAGGCCCAGTATGGGTAAGGTCCACTACAATTTCATATGGCTTTGCATAATATGGCTTTAAAGTCAGCAAGACGTGGTATATCAGCAAATCGCCATTGATTTGACCAGTTTTAAACCTAAGGAAGATGACAAAAAAAAAAGGACACAGATTGTTAACAGAGTTCTGAATAAATATACAGAGACTACTAATCTATTTTATTCCTTTAATTTTCTGATGAGCTTTCTAGAGAAAACTGTAATAACAAAAAATTACGTAAAATATAAATCCATTTTTAAAAATGTTATCCTTTAGATATTGATTGAGAAATAAGGCTGAAGTAAAATGAAAGAGACAAGTTTCCAATTCCAACACTCTTGAGCAACAACAACTTGCACACCCCAGATAAGAAGAGGAAGGCAGTGAACATTGATTGGTTGCCTCTAGGCCCACCGAATTTCCCAGGTGAACAGTTTGGGTGGGAATGATCCACCTGGAGCCCTGGGGTGATCTGAATGGCTTTAGTCAATTTGTTTACCCCACCTTGACCAGAGAGGTTCAGCAATGACCATATGACTCAAATCAGGACAACCAGGGCCAAAGAGGTCCAATTCAGAAACTTTAGCTGTAGTTGGGAATTGAGACTTTTTCTTTCCCGGTGTTTATAAACAAAGAAACACATCGCCCTGGGAGTTGTTAGCTCATACCTTGAGATATGAAGGGAAAGCCTGCCTAAAAACTGAAGAAATGGAGCAGAGAAACGAAGAGAGAAACTGGGGCCCCAGCCATTTCATTTGAACTCTAGATAACGCCTCTCCTGGGATCAAATTTATCCCTGGACTATTGAGTTGATGAGCCAATGAATTCCATTTTTTTGATTAAGCCATACAAGGTCATAAGTTGCTTACAGTCAAAAGAATGCTGATCAGTGTGAGTAGCCAAAGTAAGGACCATCAGAAAGCCCTGAAGAACACAGTACTAGAACTTCAAATCAAAACCACTTATATTAATTTGGCCCAATGTTCTACACTTGATGACTCTGGTAAGGACTATACAATAGGCTCAGATAAATATCCTTACCTCAGAATTTTTAATCTTGTTGGGAGAAAAGATAAAAATCAAGTTAAATGATTTTAAAATAAAATATTTCAAGATCAAAGAAAAGGTATGAGATAGTATGTAATCACTTATCAAATGAATTGCAGAGAAAAATAGTTCAGAAGAGGGAGAGATGAACACAAACTAGGTAGTCCTTGAAAACTACATAGATGTTGTGGCTGAAGTGGGTGGGAGAAATTCTGAATTCAACAAGAGCAGGGATTAGCAGATCTAAAAGAGAGAGGTAAAGAAAAAAAGAAACATAACTAGATGAGATGTGCTGAGGCACGTCAGCTAGTTTAGCTGGAATGAAGGATCACGTAGAGAAGTCTTAAGAGATAAAGCTGGACAACTGCACTACTAGGTATTTACCCAAAGGTTACAAAAATACTAATTTGAAGGAATACATGCACTCTGATGTTTACAGCAGCATTATCTACAATAGCCAAATTATGGAAAGAGCCCAAGTGTCCATCACTTGATGAATGGATAAAGTGGTATATATACAACGGAATATTACTCAGCCATAAAGAAGAATGAAATCTTGCCATCTGCAATGACATGGATGGAGCTAGAGAGTATTATGTTAAGTGAGAAATAAGTCAGAGAAAGACAAATACCGTATGATTTCACTCATACGTGGAATTTAAGAAATAAAACAAATGATCATAGGGGGAAAAAAGAGAGGCAAACCGGAAAACAGACTCTTAACTACAGAGAACAAACTGATGGTTAGCAGAGGGTAGTTGGGTGGGAGGAGGGTTAAATAGGTGAGGGGGATTAAGATGGGCACTTGTGATGAGCACTGGGCGTTGTAAGTGTTGAATCACTAAACTGTACACCTGAAACTAATTCGACACTGTCTGTTAACTAACTGGAATTTAAATAAAAACTAAAAAATTAAATTAAATTAAATTAAAAGTTTAACTTTAAAAAAAAGAGATAAAGCTGGAAAAATACATAATAGTTAAATTGTTAAAGGATCAAAACTAAGAGATTCAGGTTTTCTCCCAGAGGCCCAGTATTTCTCAGAATATATTTTTTTTTTTTTTAAGATTTTATTTATTTATTTGACAGAGACAGAGACAGCAAGAGAGGGAACACAAGCAGCGGGGAGTGGGAGAGGAAGAAGCAGGCTTCCCGCTGA